AACCATCACCGCCACCCACCTCCCTCTGCCCCCCTCCCCTGTGTCACGTCCTGTCCTGACCTGGTCCCCACGTGGCACAGTGTGCCTCTGCTCTCAGGCATGAATCTCAGGGCCCGCAAATAGCATGACTTCTCTTGGCCATGATGAGGACTCACCAGAACTTTTTTATCTTCCTGAACTAAAACTCCATACCCATTAAATACTAATTCCACACATCCCCTCCCCAGCCCCTGCGAACCCCTACTCTGCTTTCTGTCTTTATAAATTTGACTACTCCAGGGACCTCATGTAAGTGGACTCATGGAGCATTTGTCCTTTTGTGACTAGTGCATTTCACTGATTCTAATGTCCTCAAGTTTCATCCATATTGCAGGATACTGCAGAAGGTCCTTTCTTTTTAAGGCTGAATAACATCCCATGTATGTATACACAGACCACGTTTTCTTTGTCTGTTCACACATTAATGAACATGTGGGTTGCTTCCACTTCTTGGATATTCTGAAAAATGCTGCTATGAACAGGGGTGTACGGATATCTCTTTGAGACCCCATTTTCGATTCTTTTGGGTATATACCCAGAAGTGAAATTGCTGGATCATAGGGTAATTCTATGTTTAATTTTTTGAAAAACTGCCCTCCTGTTTTCCACAGTGGCTGCAGCACTGTGCATTCCCACTAGCAGTACATGATGTTTCCAGTTTCTCCACGTCCTCACCAATACTTGTTATTTTCTGGGTTTTTCCCCCTCTTTCTGAAAATAGCCATCCTAATGGGTGCAAGGTGGTATCTCATTGTGGTTTTGACATGCATTTCCCTAATGATGAGTGCCCTTCACTTTTTTTCATACCAATTTTGGGTCTTTGGATCGATCAGTCAAAGTGCAGCAGTTCAAGGTCTTATTCACCACCAAATTCCCACTGTGGAGGACAAGGCTGGGCGTGCAGTACTTGCTCATTGTTGAGAAACCGAAGGAGAGGCATGACTTTTCAGCTGAGAAAGGGGACGACCATTTCCGGAGAGAGGCGTCTTCCCCAGTGAAGGTATTTGAGGGATGGCTGATGACCATGGCATGCAGTTGTTACCACTCCATCAGCCAGCCTGTCCTTGTTCTGACCTGACTGCTGACTCTCTGGGATGGAATAAAATCAGCCCTAGGCCATCATCCAGTGACCATTTCCCAAAAGCCTCCTACGTGCTGAGCCCTGGGGACATCAGAGGACACAAAGAAGAGGGAGCTGAACTGTCCAGGGCATGTGATGCAGGACGCCCAGCCCTTTGGGCAGAGGGACTGGCAGCCCACTGCCTATTCCTCAGCACAGAGCTGTCCCCAGGCTACCCCAGCCCCTCAGGCCTGCATGAGTCTGGGACCCTTCCAGTGGCTCCACAGTCTCCCTCCCCTGTTGTCTTTGGCCTGGCCTGTCCCTACCTTTCTGCTCTGTTTGTCACAACCAGCCTACTTGCTAGGCAGGAGCCCACCACAATCTCAGCTGGAGCTCAAGGCCTCAATGGGGAGCCCCGTCTCCCTGGGTAGCCAAGCCATGGCCAGACCCAGTTCTTCCTTGCTCACAGCTTTCGCTTCTCCATAGACCGTGGGCCTAGGCTAAAGACTATCTCAGTGGCCGGCTCCTCTGAGGAAAGAGAAGGCCAAAATGCCTACAGCCCAGTGACTGGCCTGGCCTTCCCAGATCTGGCACCCAGCTCTGCCCACTCCCTGCATTTACTCTCCTGACCTGTCTCTTCTCCCCCCACCTCCCTACCCACTATGGCTGTACAAAGGCTAGCAGATTAAAACTCTAGGTGAGGGAGACAGAATTCCCACCAAGGGACAGGGAGCCTCACCCCCATGCCCACAGCTCTGAATGCAAAGCTGTCTGCCAACATCCTCCTTCAAACAGAAGACCCAGAAATGAAATGTTAGCACTCCAGGCGCTACAAACCTCCCTTGTATTATACACTGATACTTCTGCCTCCTAAGATTTTTTTCTCGCCATAATACTCTGTCACACTGGGACTTCCACATCGACTGACCATAAACTTTCCAAACCTAAAGGTGAAGGCTTGTTCTTCTTCCTCTCAAACCACCTCTTGGTGGCAGACTGTACTGCAAACCTCGATTCCATCATCTCTCCCCCTGTAGTGCACAGCTGAGCAGCGAGCCTCCCATGTACTCGTCGAAGTTGTATGTTTAGCAAACAAGTGGACAGGCCAAGCACAGAGGTCTGCCCCTCAGGCTGCCACTGCTCCCTGCCCGCTGGGAGTGGCTGAACAAATGGCTACCTGAGCCATGTTTACCTGTTTTGTCCATAGTACATCAAGAGCTTTAACCCAGTGACTCCCCAAATTCAGACAATCAGGCCAACACCATGTCTCACACTACTGATCTAGTTTCCCTGCTAGAAGAGGACCTGCGGTCAGTGGGTGGTTTTAAAACATGTCCACAAGTTTTTCAACAGTCCTCCCATCAAGAAGTGGGGTCTTGTTCCTCTCCCTTGAATATGGGCTGGCCTTAGGGACTCATGCACAGAGAAAGGTGATACTAAATGACTCACGAGGCAGAGTCATAAAAGGCAACACAGTTTCCACCTGGCTCTCTTGGGACTTCGCTCTTGGAACCCAGCCACCATGTTGTGAGGAAACCCAGGCCACGTGGAGAGGCCACATGTAAGCATTCTAGCTGATAGCCTGCATCGACTACTAGCCATATGAGAGAGCAAGCCTTTGGGAGGACTCCACTCCGGCCATCTTCTGACCACAACTACCAAGGAGACCCAAGCAAGAACCACCAAGCTAAGGCTAGTGGGTTCCCCAACCATCAGAGACAAAAATAACAAATAATTGTGTTGTTTGGCACCACTAAGTTTGGGGTGGTAGTTTCACAGATATAGATAACAGAAATGTTGTTATGGCAACATTTTTTTATAGACACTCCATTCCCTTTCTCACTAAACATTTTCAAATAAGCCATTCCAGAATTAGGAAGAGCCATACTGGTTTATAGTTTCACAAATATGCCCCTTTCCACTTTCAGTAACCTAAACCTCTGTGTTGTGTTTGTGTGTGTATGCACGTGCAGTTTTCTGATTCTTTCTCCACTATTCCTCAAAAATTGTTTCAAACTGTCATAAACATACCATTAAGTCCTTTCAGAGCCTTTGGCTATAACAATTTAGGAGCCCAGAACTCATTTTAGTTATAATAATAATATCATTAACAGCTGTAATTTGTAACCTCTCAGTAAATCTTAGTGATGTGTCAGCATTTCACATGTATTGACTTACCTAATCCTCACAACTTGAGACAGGTCAAAACTATGCTTACGTGTGCTGAGGCCCACTGAGGGTAAATGGTTCGCCAAGTTCACACAGCTACTGAAGGCGGCCGGACTCCCTCTCCTGCCCTCTTGCCTGTGGTAGGCATAGGCTGCCCTTTGTCATTATAGGTCATCCTCCTTTTGAGGACAGCAGAAGCCAAACAAGAGCTGTGTCTTTTTGTAACTAGTTTTTGGCAACCCCCACTCCCCATCCACCACATCCCCAAGTGGTGAACTGGGCTTCTGAATATCTCTGAAAATGCCTTCACTTGTCTTCAACCTCAGTTCATTTACATTTTGGGCCTTCCTAATGGGTTCTCCCTTGATCCCTTTGGCCTTTGGTGTATTTCTTACTTAAACCTGAGCAACCCCACTGCCTCTGTCTTCCCTTGTCTCTAGAATTGTCAATCAAGGGCCTCCATGCCCTCGTTCTTCTAGTCTCAGGCCTCGCTGACTTTTCTCTCTGCAGTACCTGTCAGCTTCTGCCCTCCCTCACGTCCATAACCCTCCTCCGACCCTGCCTTCTCCCCTAAGCACCCCGGGATGCTCGAGTCATGGTGTAACCGCTAGTTTCTCTGGAGTGGATTTCCCCCAAACCTCTTTCGGGTCAGCAGGCATTCTGAAAGCCCCAAGCTCAGCATGCAGGGGAGGACTCCTAGAACGCTGAGCAGCCTGGTGGGAGTAGGGGGTGCCCAGCGTAGCACGGTGGGGGTGCAATCATGGGCAAGCCCATGTCTGCGCCCAGGTTTAGAAAGCACTTCAGCAACCATACTTTCCTAAGTTCCTCACAAACAACTCTGTGAGATAGGCATTATTACCCTCATTTTAAAGCTGAGGAAAGTAGGATTAGAAAGGCAAATGGATTAGCCCACAGTCACGCAGCTAATGAAGAGCGGAGCAGGGGCTCCAGCCTTGTCTTGGGACCCCCAACCCAGTCAGTTTTCTGCGGCGCTGTCTGGCCCAGGCCTTCTAGAATCTGCTCCTTTCTCCTACTACTGCCTTCAGCAATGTCATGACCCCCAGGCTCCTCCCCTGGACCAGGTTCTATGCTGCCTGAGCTGAGATACCTATATTTGTTCATCTCACCCAAGCTGGGCCCAGGCAGTGCTCAGTAATGGGCATCAGCTGGTGGAAAAGCAAGCCCTCAGAGGCCGAGAGGCAGACTTAAGCCAAGCCACACCACCTCCTTTACAAGGACCTGAGGTCATTCCGTAAACAACACGACTATGTGGCCCTGCTGGTGAACAAAGTAGAAGCAGTACTTGGATCGGACATAAGATGGGATGGGGTGGGGGTGCGAAGGGAGAAAATGTGGCAGTGTCACTGCGGCCCCTGCCCCACACCTGTCTCCAATATTTGTCCTACAGAAACCAGCACGGGGCAAACGGTCCTGTGTCCCTTCTTCTCCAAGACGGCCGTCTTCCCAAGTTTGTGTCCTGAAGAAACCAACAGCATGGCTTGCTCACCCCCTCACAGTCTGCTCTCATTCCCACCCGGCCCGCCTGCAAAGTCCTCCCGCGCCAGCTTCTACTGTGGACTGCAGGTGGAGACCAGGTCCCCATCTCTGCCCCCACCCCACCCCACCCGTCTTTGGCTCACCAGTGCCCCTTCCATAGAGCCGACTTCTCCCTCTCCTCCATCCACCCTTGCCTGCCCCCATCCTTCCTCAGTCCAAGTTTTTCCTGTTTTACCTAAATTTGTAGTTCTCGGGCAGGAAGTAACCCATCTTGCAGTCCTGTTGAGCCTGAAAGATCTGTTTCAGCAGATTCTGCTTGCTGAAGCCATATCCATTCAAAACGCAGCCCCCGAAAAGGAGCTTCCCCCCAGCGAACATCTGCTGACAGACAGGAAGGAAGCAGAGGGGAGAGGCCCTCAGCACGCCAGCACTGAATCCCGGGACAGTGCCAAGGGCTCTCAGAGCTCGTGCCAGAGTCCAGGCCTTTCTTTGGTGGCTGAGGAAGGGGTGTTGCTCTCCCAAAGTCACCCAGTGATGTGTGGCTAAGCCTTTCCCCTGTCTAGGACCCCCCAGGTCAGAGTCCAGCCCCATCATCCCAGCCTTTGCCTATGGCCAGATGGACCAGCTCATACACCACTTCATACACAAGACCTCCCAGGACTCTGGGACCAGAAGGGTGTATTCCTGGTCCCAGGCAGCTCGTCTCAAACCCCCTCTATACATAGACTGGCTGGTCCCATGGGATTGGAGCCCCTTGAGGGCAGGGATATTGTTCTACAGGTCTCTGTGCTCCCACCCTCTACCTGTCAGTCTCCAACAAGTAGAGACCTGTCTAAAGATTTTTGTGCAAGAATATTCATTAGTGTTATTTGTCATGACAAGGAGAAAAAAAGGGGGGGGGGGAAATAATCTAAAAAGGTCCCCAAAAAGCAGCACAGGAGAAAAACTAAAATGACAGATTCTTACACAGTGGTAAAATCAGGTGTTACAAACTATTTTAGGATATGGGGAAGTGCTCACATCATTTTAATTTAAAAAGCAGGACCCCAAAGTCAGAGAAAGACTGCAAAGGCCAGATGCCAAAATATCAGCTTGGGCGTGGCCCGAGGCCTCCCAGAGAACCGACTGATCAGATGCGGGTACACACTTGTTGTGTAACAAATGAGGCAGTCTAGGTGATATGATGAAGTAATTGTATTCTAAATTGTATTTTCCAAAATTTCCACAATGAATATACAGGGCAGAGCAAAAGTATGTTTACAGTTGTGAGCACGAGAAACAGAGTTTATTTTTGTATTATTATTTATTAATTATTGCGTTATTTTTATGCACAACTGTATACCCACTTTTGCCCCACCCTATATATATTTTTACAATCCAATGTTTTTAGTAAAAAGTAAAAAGTTATTTAAAATAAACAAACAGAAGGAGAGAATTTGGCTTTCTGGTCAAGCGTCCCTTCAGTCTCTGGGGATAGGGGGCACATAGGGTCAGGCTGGAGACAGGGGGCCAGGCTGGGAGAGAATCCTGCAGGCCCTCCATCCTCCCCACCCCCACATGTGTGGCCCCACAAGAGTAGGGACTATGGGGACTGGGTGGCTGGTAGCTGGTGGTGAGTCCTCTGCTGGGCTCTGGCTCACCAAAACCATCCCCTGCGCCACAGCGTACTTCTTCACCAGCAGGGGCGGGTCCTTCTGCAGGGGGCTGTCCAGGTCATACCGCAGTAGGCGGTAAGGGTCATGCCGGCACTGCCAAGAGAATGAGGGCCCGTCAGCCCCGTGCCGAGACGACGCACTCAGATTCCCGCGTTCTCAGCCAGGCCAGGCTCCCACTGAGTCCTGTAGCCCCACACAACCCCCGCTTTCAACTCCTACACCAACGGGCCGTTAGGCCCCTGCATGCACACTTCGCATGGCTGTCCCAGAGAATGTCCCCAGGTCCACTTAGGGCCCTCTATTGGGGAAAGCTGTCACTGAGATGATTGCCCACCGTGTGACATCCACTAGCAGCCTGGCCCTCTGGAGTCTGTGGGACCTTCCTGTTCCCTCTGCCCAAGTGAAACTATGGAGATTTGGGGGCAGGAACCGTGTTCCTGGGTGTACCCATTTGCAGGACCCTTCTGCCCCTACCCCTCTGCTGGCTGCCCTTCTGGATACCTCCCAGTCATGAAATCCATTCAATTCCACTGAATTGAACCCAGAGCTCGAGGTAGGGCTTAGTCGTTCCAGAGTAAAGCTGATTTCTTCCTCCTCTTCGTTACTGGATGCAATAGATCCATTAGATACGGCTAATGTGATACTTCCTGGTTTTATCTACCTTTTATTTCAGGTGCCTTCAGTTGTCCTGCCTGAACTTTCAGTTTAAAATGTGACACCCAGAACCACACCTGGTGTTCTAGCTACCAGAGCAATAGAACATCAGGGAAAGTTTCAGCCTTAAGACACTGCCTGGTGGAACCAGAGTCAGCGTAAGAAACCAGCCTCCAGCCCTGCTGTCCATGTACCATGGCCTTCAGCCCCCTCAGGCCAAGCCCTGTCCCTGCTCATGCTGCTCATGGCTGGGCTGCACCACAACGCATCGCTGTGCTTATGGATAATTCTTAGTGAACAATTAATAGCCCTGAAATAAACTAAAGTCAACTCTAAGTTTAAAACATATGTGGCTTTGATGTATGAAACTAGAAAATGCCTTCTGAAGTCTGATCAGAAAGGTTCCAACGCCAAGCTCCTGGCACTGGCTGGAGCGCAGGTCTGGGTGCAGGTGGGCATGTCAGGGTCAGGACGGTGGCACTCCTGGGAGGACGGCTTGAGAGGGTGTCCCCAGGGTGTACACAAAACCTCAGAATTCGGGGATGCAGCCAAAGGAAGACAGGGAGAAGACACCAGATTCAAGAGGACACCAGAACAAAGAGGGTTTGCAGGAAGTCGCCAAGTGGACACAAAGCTCTTGTGCTCACATGGCATCTCCTCCAGTTGGTCTGGAGACAGGGCCACCCTTGAACTGTGCTAACACTGCAGGGATGGCTGCCACGCAAGGGTTTCCACGTGTCCCTGACTGACTGACCCCCGGTGAACTGGGATCTCAAATGGCCTTTCCCCTGTTCCTCTTGGCACAGGCACCTGCCAAGACCCTTTCATCCTGGGGCACCCTCCCAGACTCTTGAGAGGTGTCCCCCTGTGCCCCAGTTCCTGCCTGCCTCGAGCTGTCCTTTCATGGCCCTCATCGTGGCTTGCTGCGGGTACTGCCCCATCACGTCGGGAGCCTCTGCAAGGCTTTGTCAAAATCAGCAGTGGAGCGCAGAGCCCTGCACAGGACTGACACATAACAGGGCCACTGTCTACAAACTTTCCTTAGCCCTGAGGATCTAGTGGGGAGTGTGGCTCTGCTCTAAACACCCAGTACATAAGTCCAAACTGCAGTGAGTGCTCAGGAAAAGAACAACAGGGGTCTGAAAAGGCACCACCTTGATGTGATGACATCCATCCTGCGACAGGGGGATGAGTGGGAGAAAACAGTGCAGACAGTAGGAAGGGTAAGTGCAAAGGCCCCAAGGAGACAAGGAAGTGAAAGAGGGCCAAATGCTTAGGTGGAGAGGCAACCTCTCAGCCAGGCGCAGCCAGTCCTAGGCCTGGCCCCCAGGGGGTCTTCCCCCACCCACCACCCCACCTGCAGACACTGGGACCTCCATTGCTGTGCCCAGGACCCACCTGTATGCAAGGTGAGGCGCGGCCTTGCTGCTGGCGACTGTAGAGTGTGTTGAGCAGCCACTGGAGCTGTCCTGTGCTGGTGGGACTCTGGCCGGACACTATCCCGAACACCAGGACCTGGCTGGGGTCCCGAGGCGCTGACAGGAAGCGCTCTAGCTCCACGTCTGATACCAGGGGCGCCTTCACTATGCACTTGCAGCCAGCCCGGATGTCTTCCTTACAGATGAGCTTCCTCAACACCAAAGGGCAGTCAGACGGCGAGGCTGCCCACCTGGTGGGGCTGCAAACCTCGCGGGCCTTCCCTCTGCAAGAAGGAGCAAGTGGGCCGGTGCTCAGTGGGCCCCGCTTCCACGTGGACAAAGGCCCCGCTGCTGTGCCGCCTGGGATGCAGGCAGTCCTAACTTGGCTTCCACCACCAACACGCAGCACCGCCTTTGATGGGTGCCCAACCTCTCTGGGCATCTGTTTCCTCAGGTGCAAAATGCAATTAACAAGTGACTCATTCATTCATCCATCCAACAAAAGCTTTGTAGTCATCCTGAACAACTTTCTTTCTCCCACATCCCATATCCTATCCAATATGTCAGCAAGCCTGTTTGTTCCCCATTCAAGAAAGATGCAGAGTCCAATCACTTTTCCTGTCCCCCCACTTCTACTAACATGGTCCAAACCTCCACCATTTCTTCCTGGACGCCTCCAAGTGCCTCCTAATGGGTCTTTTGCTTTCTCCTTTGGACCCTTTTCAGAATATTCTCTGTCCAGCAGACTGAGGGTTCCTGTTAAAATCTTGAGTCACATCATGTCATCACTCTCTTTGAAATCCTCCAGTGGCTTTCCACCTTTCACAGAATAAAAGCCAAAGTCCCCACAATTCTCTTCAAGGCCGTACATGATCTGCCCCCGATCCCCATCCCCTTGACCTCTTCTATTCTTCTCCAACATTCTCATCTTTGCTTACTGAGCTCTGGCCATTTTGGCCTCTGCTTATCCTCCAGCCTCAGGGTCTTTGCTCTTGCTGCCCCTTCTGCCTGCTTGGCTGTTCCCGCAAATAGCCACACAACCCCTTTCCCTGCCTCCTTTATGTCTGTATGCAAATGGCACCTTCTCAGTAAGACTTTCTTTGACTGCCCTAGTCAGAATTGTATCCCTTCACCCCCAACACTCTTACCAATTCCCTGCCTCACTTTCTTCCTTAGCATTGCTCACTGTCTAATGTATTATATACTTTACTTATTAATTTTGATCATTGTATTTCTCTATCCTAATAGAACATAAAATTCTATGAGTTCATGAGTTGGGAATGTTTTGTTCAGTGGAATACGTAGTAGCTGTTGGCAAATAGTAAAGATTCAATACAGAGTCAATAAATATCCGAACAAGTACTTATGAGGCACCTACTAATATGCCAGACGTTGGGCAGGGTTGATGCAGGGTTGTGAGGGTTGTATGTAGATAGAAACAAGTACCATCAAATATAAAGTATTGCTATGATTTTGTTCTTATCTTTCCTACAGCCTTACCTTGTGGTTAGCACTTTATGGCATCCAAAACCCTTGGCATAGACACTGTCATGGTTGGTTTTGTAATAACCTGTGCAATAGGCTGGGCAGAAACTATTAGCACTGTTTACAAATCAGGAAACAGAAGGCTCCAACTGGGTTAAATTCATACAGTAATTAAATAGCAAGGGCCAGGATTAAAAATCAGGTCATCCTAAAACAAAAGCAATGCAAGTAATTTACTGCTCAGAATTTTTCAGGGGCTATTTAATACTAGGAATATTTGCTAAACAAACATAAAAATATCTCTTGTTCAAGAGCCTGAACATCTGGGAGGGAAAGGGTTAAATCTATTTTTAAAAATATTTTTTTTATTTATTTTTAAAGAGGGTGAAATGGAGGGAGAAAGAGAAGTAGAGAAACATCAATGTGTGAAAGAAACATTGATGGGTTGCCTCTTACACACCCCCAATCAGGGACCTGGCCTGCAACCCAGCCATGTGCCCTGACTGGGAATTGAACCAGTGACCTTTTGGTTCACAGGCCAGCACTCAAGCCACTGAGCCACACCAGCTGTGCAGAGTTAGATCTATTAATCACAGCTTACATACCAAGATAAACCCAAAATGAATCAAAGTTTTAAATGTGAAAAAATAAGAAGCCATAAAAGATTTTTTAGAAAATATAGGAGAATCATTTTATAATTTTGAAACAGACAAGGCCTTTCATAATTATGTTGCAAAAGTCCAGAAGTCATGATAGGAAAATACTGATAAATTCAACTACACAAAAGAAAAACAACAACAACAACAACAACAACAACAACAACAACAACAAAGAAAACAACCTTGAGTGGTAAAACCATCACAAGCAAAGATAAAAGTCAAAAGACAAACTAGAAAACATATATGAAACTCCTATCACAGACAAGTGGCTAGATAACCTACTACGTAAAAAACTACACATGAATTTGAAAAAGTTAATAACTCAATAAAATATAAACACACAATTTATAGAAAATTATATAGAAGTTATTTCTTTTATTATAAAAAGATAGGAGTGAAGTTGTCAAAAATGGCAGAGTAGAGAATTCCAAAAGTGTGTCCCTTCACTAAACCAACAATTAACCTGGCAAAAACTATCAGAATCAACTTTACAGTGCTCTGGAAACTAATTTAAAAACTTATAACAATCAAGGAAATGCTTAGTGAAGAAAGAAACTGCTAAATTTTGGTAAGAGAGTGTTGTGACCTTTTAACTTACCCACCTACCATCTCCAAGTCTCTAGCCTGGTGGCATCTAGCGGGGTGGCAGCCCATGTTCCTGGTGTGGCTTGCTGATACCAGAGAGGGTAATAGGGACGTTGTCCTCAAGGAATTGTGGTTGTGTTTTTTGGCATGTCTGGAGTTCCCGGAAGGATGGGCTAAGGGGCTTGCCTTTGTTTCCTCCATGCTGGGACTTTCTTAGAGATGGAGCAGCATCTTTGGCAGCATTTCTCAAAAGCATTTAAAGTTAAATATACCAGACACAGCCTCCTGGTGCAAGGGGTAACAGACAGAGCACACAGTAGATAGACCAGAAAGCCTGGGAAGAAAGAGACTGGGAAAAAAATACACTGGGTAATAGGTGTTTTGAAATGTCCCATGTACACCAGGAAATGTAAAGGGTCACAAGCATGTCTAGGGTTGGAACCATGTTTAGAGAAGGCCTGAGAATACCCTAAGCCTTCACTTCTGCCTGACCTCTGGGCTCTGTGCAAGTGGGAAATAAAGGCTACAGCAGAGATTAAACAATCTGGCTAAAAGCACTGAAAAAGGAGTCCAATATAGAAAAGTTAATCTGTAAAGATTGGGAAAGGTGTTTCTTTTGTTTGTTTGTTTTTTGTTTTTGTTTTTTATTTTTGGTTGGAGGTATTTAAGGAAGTCTGTCAAATTTCATTAGCTGACTAGTAAGATAAACAAATAGACTTTAGTGAGCACATAATAAATAATGCAGATTTTACAAAAGTAGTTTAGAAAAGTCACTAAACAAGCAAACAATTATAAACTATAAGCAGCAGCAACAAACCCTGGAGTGAGGGTAGAATTTGATTTCCAGAGATACTACATTATAATATTCAAAAGGTTCAGTTTTCAACAAATTTATAAGTCATACAAAGAAACAAAAAAGTATGGCTCATTCACAGCATAAAAGAAATGGGAAAATAAATCCCCCTGAGGAAACTCAGATATTGGACTTTCTAGACAAAGATATTTTGTCAACTATCTTAATTATGTTCAATGTGCTAAAGGAAACTAAGGACGAAGAACTAAAACAAACCAGCAGAACAATGTTCCACCAGATAGAGAATTCAATAGAGACTGAAATTATAAAAATAACCAACCAGAAATTCTAAAGTTGAAAAGTATCATAAATGAAGTGAAAAATTCAACATCAAATCTGAACAGGCAGAAAAAAAAGAATCAGCAAACTTGAAGATAGGACAATTAAAATTACTGAGTCTGAGAAGCAGAAATTAAAATGAAAAGAAAAAATTAACAGAGCCTAAGATACCTGTGGGACACCATCAGGAATACCAACATACACATAATAGGAATTATAGGACAAAAGAGAAAGTAGCAGAAAGAATACTTGAAGAAATAATTGCCCAAAACTTTCCGAACTTGAGATTTCTCCAAGAAGCTCAACGAGTTCCAAGCAGGATAAATTCAAAGAGATACACACCATGACACATTAAAAAGAAATCATGGAGGCCAGAAGACAGTGCAATAACATATTTAAAGTGCTGAAAGAAAAAAAAAAATCAGACAAGGCTTCTATATTGAGCAAATTTTGCCTTCAGAAATTAAAGGGAAATCAAGACATTCCCAGATAAACAAAAGCTGAAGGAGTCTGTCGTTAGCAGGCCTGCTCAACAAGAAATGCTAAAGAGAGTCCTTTAGATTAAAATGGAAGAATCCTGGGCAGTAACTTGAAACTATACACATATAGGTATATATAAGGAAATTTATAGGAATTGGTTCACATGCTTATAGAAGCCAAAAAGTCCCGCAGTCTACTGTCTGCAAGCTGGAAAATCAGGAAGTCCAGTGGTATAATTCAATCTCAATCAGAAGACCTGAGAACCAGGAGGCCAATGGGATAAGCCATAGCCTTAAGGCAAAAAAGGCCTAAGACCCGCGAGGCTGCTGAAGTCTAAAGGCCCAGGAACCAGGAGCTTAAATGGATTTCCCAGCTCAGGAAGAGAAAAAGGAGGTGTAGGGGCTGTAGAAGAGGGTAAATGGGGGATAATTGGTGACAGAAAGAGACTTGACTCTGGATGGTAAACACACACTACAATAAATATAGTGATGGTGTATTTAGAATTGTACACTTTAAACCTATATAATTTTATTAACCAATGTCACCCCAATAAATTCAATAAAAATTTAAAAAAGAGATCATGGTAATAAATTTACTATGTCTTATATTTTACATTTTCAAGCACTGAAATCCAAACTAATTTCTTTTTATTTAAACTAATTTCTGGTATGAATCCTACTTGATCATGGTGTGTGATCTTTTTAATGTATCTCTGGATGCGGTTTGCCAGTATTGTGCTGAGGATTTTAGCGTCTATGTTCATTAGCAATATTGGCCTGTATTTTTCTCTTTGTCATGTCTTTAACTGGTTTTGGGATTCAGATGACGTGGCCTTGTAAAAAGAGTTTGGGAGTTTTCCCTCTTCTTGGATTTTTGGAATAGTTTGAGAAGGACAGGGGTTAACGCTTCTTAAATGTTTTATAAATTTCTCCTGTGAAACTAT